TGGATGTCAATACATTAATCAGTTGATTGTTATCTTTTGAGAAGCAGCTCTACCAAGCTAGTTCAGAAGGCACAGCAGATGTTTTTTTGGGAAGGGTGATATGGTTAAGGGTAGTTTTGTACATTCCTTCAATATGAAAGTCCAAACCATTTCATACTACATAGATTATTGCCACTCCTCAAATTTGTACCAGAAGCTAGTTTGCAGCTAACCTAAGTAATGCATGATTGAACTGGCTTACAACATAATTGTTTGTGTAACTATTCAGAAGTAAGTTCCATTTAGTTCGGTGGGATTTGCTTGTATGTAAAGGATGTTTCAATAGCCATTGTTTCAATTGTTCACCTCAGAACCATTTTGCAGATTTTTTCTAAGCTACATTCTGTTTTGGCACAAAGGAATTTCTGGTCATGTGTTATAGCTGAAGCAATATTAACAACTGGGACCAAAAATCTTATGAGCACAATGGCCATCTTAAAAGATCAGTAATCAGTACCTAGGGCAGGCTGAAGCACTATCAAGAATTCAGAGCACGTCTGTTTATTTGAAAAGTGTGGGGAGATTCTTGGTCAGTTTCAGCATGAGACCTGGAATGAAGCACTGAGAACTTTTCGACATGAGACATTTTCTACACAAGTGCATTCATTGTATACTCATGATTCCTCACTCACAGTGAGTGCAGGTGCTTTGTACAAAGCCATCATTCTCCTGGCCCTTTCCCGTGCATTGCAACAATCTTTGAGGAGCCACATCAAGGAATGTGTAGTATTACTGAAAATGGCACCAGGAAAATCTCATGCATTTCTGAAATTCTACTATCCTGCAGCATCACATTGTGATTATATATTGCAACATCTAGAAAGACAAAGAGAAAGATTTGAGGAGGAAAACACAGATAAAAGAAGTAATATTTATCCCATAGAGAAACTAGAAGCAGAATCTCCAGTAAAGTGGTGGAGATAGGGAACCTCAGGCTTGCGAGTCAGATCTGACCCTCTGACCTGCCCCTTTCCCCCAGCCACCAATCTTTCAGTGGTGTCCTCACATTTGTTCATTTCCCGTATGTTCTAAAAGGTTGGCACACGTCTCCTAAAGCTTAGATACTTGGAATAAAAGTTTTTATGTGCTGTTGTTGTTGAACTTCATCTCCTTTTATGTTTTGACCCATCCATCACTGGATTGATGCTCCAAGAAAATTGAATTTAATCCCTGGTCTGAAAGAAGTTCTCCATGCCTTGCCTACGTCAGCCCATCAACTTATGCTTTACCCTTCTACTTTTGGTTCCTGTCATAACACAAAACTCCCTCCCCCTTGATGCAAAGGTGTTGAATTTCTGTTATTTGGCAGTTTTCTGGGCATTTCTGTCAAGTCATTCACTCATTCACTCCAGGTAGTATCTGAATTTACTGAGGCTGCCTGAGAGTTAAAGAAACTCCCTGGAGCACAATTGGCTAATATGAAGCTTTTCCTTAGCCTCCTTCTTCTGGCAATGGGATAAAGGTTCCTTCATATTGTGAAATGTTTACCTGGGAAAATAAAAGGGGAAAAGTCAGGATATAAATATAATAAATAAATTACTCAATAAAGTTCCTATGTTATACAACCGGTCAGCAGTGAGAAAGCGTTGGGTGCTTGTTTTCAAGTAGTGCTGGCTGGATTTCAAAAGAATCAGAAGAGAGGTGATAAACAGGAGAGGGCCTGGGAATGTGGACCTTGCAGAGGCACTGAGATGAGGGAAGTGGAGATGCTTATCTCCAGGCTAGACTTCCCAGATGGACAGGCAGTTTCTGGGAGTAACCAAAAATTACAGCTGGCAGGAGGGGTTAGTGTTCTGAAAATCCAGTTCACTTAACTGTGGCATTATTTTGCAATCATGCTCTTGGGCTAAGCTTTTAAAATGATGTTGTACCATGAACGGTGACAAGTAATATGATAATCTTTTTAAATTCTAGTTGGCCTCATGAAATCAACAATTGCCTGATGAGTTAACTAGCGATGCTATAATGACTGCTCTTGAAACAGGTGGTGAGAACAGTTTCACACATTCTGGTTGTCAAGTAATAATTGCAGCTATTGTGAAAATCATATGTGATCACACTTCAAATTGTTATTGAGGTTAATTACTAATCAAGCTTTTCATACAAGCTTTTTCACATTCAAGTATTGTCCCAGAATAATCACCATCTCCTTGGCTCCCTCACATTCCACAAAATATGGTTTTATACATTTCTTTACTATTCACAAACTTTTGTCATTATCTGTGTTTAAAAACCTAGAGCTTTTTCCCATATGAATTAAAGTAAATGTAGGAAGATCATAATGAGCAGAAAGTGGATTCCACCCTCTATAAATACCACCATTTTGTGAGGATATTTATTTCTTGATATTTATTTCAAGATACCCACCCTTTTAATGAGAGGGTGGGTATTTCAAATTAAATAGGGGCTCTTGCGTATGTGAAAGGAGAAACCAAATTAATGAGAGAATCTATTTCATGGTCCATCTGAGATAATGTTATTCTTCTTGTAAACCTAGCTGAGCAAGAAAATGTTTCAATATGTTAACCTGAGTCTGACGGCATTTTGGTAGAAAGTCACTATTCTGTGCTATTTCACTTTCTGTATTTTGTTCACATCAGAAGCTTTCAAACACTGGGTTGGTTTACAGAACCCTTGGGGAGCCCATTGTGTCATTTAACCCTTGATGAATCACGGTGTGTGCTTCACATAACTCAGTTTGTTGTAGGGTTATAAAAGGACTGTTTAACTCTTTAAAATGCTACTTAGTCTGGAGACATGCTAAACTAAATGAGCCATGCTAAACTAAATGAGTGGATGTGGTGTGCAAATATAGTGTAGGCAGATAGGAAATCAGCTGAGCTTTTCTGGAAGGCATGTCTTGGATCAAATCTATCAAATCTAGCTCTTCCACTCATTTTCCAGTGCTGTCTGTCTTGACTGGGTTGCTGGTGGAACTGATTAGGAGAACAGAGACAGAGATGCAAGCACATGAAATGTTATAGACCGGGGTGGTGAACCTCCAGCTCAGAGGCAAATTTCAGCATGAGGGGCCTCTCCATCTTGATCACTAGGTGCTCACCCTTCCTGAGCCCCACTTCTAGCAGAATGTGCTCTGTTTTCTTTCATGCATTCTGCATGTGTGTGCATGTATGAAGGCCATGCATATGTGTAAATGCATGGGTATATGTTTGGGAACTCAAGGTGCATGTATGAATACACATGTGGATGATACTTTTATGAGTAATGTGTATGTGTATATCAATGGGTCTAGCAGAGAAATTTGGGTTACCCACATGCTTTGGGCCTGGGCTGTTCCCACTGTTGGCATGCAGTCTCTGGTGCCAGTATGGCTCTTAGGGCAAAAATGGTCTCCACCCTTCCTATAGGCAGATATAACCAATCATTTAGCACAGGAGTATAGAAATAAAATCAGGCATGTAACCTCAACAATTTTACATTTAGATCTCAATGGATTAATTTCTTTCATAAATATTACACACAAAATAGTGCAGTTTCTTAACTGGCATAATGCAACCACTTCACACATACTATGACATTCCTCTGTTGCAATAGTTATCTTTAATCTGGTTTTTTCCCCTGCCTGCTACTGCATTTAATTGCACTGCTTTGTCTCTTATTTCCTCTTATCTCATCCCTGGCTCTCTGAAAAGCAGTTACCAAACAAGCAGCCAGCCAAATTTTTTTTTCAGTTTGCAGATAACGGCAAGGAGCTGGTAAGTGTCTAACAGTCATGAATAGTTTCATTCTTTGATTAGCTTGGTACTCCCATATCCTCCCATATCTTAGTAAGTGGCCAAAGACTTCCTTTGAGGCAGAGAAAAATCTCTGGAGGATTACGACTCTAATAAGAAATGTCAACATTTGTCTAGGATCAAGAAAATATTCACATTCTTTAATTTAAAAGTGGAAACAAAATCATTATAAGCAGATAAAGAGGAAACAAAACAAGCAGTGGGTAAAAACAGAAACATGAACCCATTAAGTAAATAGCAAATACCAGAAGTTTTGTTGAAATACATATAAACATGCAAGCAGTTTCCCTAGGGAATGGATCATGACCAGCACAGTAATTTCTGGATTTTTTTGCAGCATCAGATTATTCTTGACTGAACCTGAGATGGAGTATTCTATTTTCTTTTGTTTCAAATATTCTACAGTTGTTTTCAATTCTATTAATTCATTAAGCGGGGGGGGGGGGCATGGCTTTCTATGTTCCTTTGAATTGCCCTGTGCACACCCATCTTTCTGGGCTTTCCATAACTTTCTGTAAACTGGGCTGAATTGCATTGCCATGTCTTTTGATAGGAAACCTGGATATGAAATCACAGTGAAGTCAATGGAGCAATTTCAGGGTACTTTGTATGAGTTGTTATTCTCCTCATCATTATATTCTTGTACTGCCCAACAGTTGACACTCTGGCTGATTCACAAAACAAAACTTAAAACCATCAAAACCAATAACTATAATGAGGCATATAGAAAAAGATGTAAAAGTTTACAACCATCTAAAGTGAGAGCAAAAATGATCACAGATAGATAAATATGGAATATAAAATGCTTGCCATAATAGTATAGAAATGTTTAGTTTGAAAAATATTCTATATGTAGCCTCAGAAGGAAGTTTAAGGTTTTAATCCTATGTTATTTAGGATCCTATGTTATTTTAATCCTATGTTATCCTATGCTATTTAATCCCCAATAACATTGAGGATGGTTGGCTGGGGAATGCAGGGCGTGCTAGGACTTTCTTCTGTCAACACATGCATAGGACTGCATTCTAAGTATCAGCAGCAAATGTCTTCGGGAAATTTTAGCTGGGTGGAAAATTAATAAATCAGTTGTACAACAGATCATCTTTCTTGCACAATTCGCCCATTATATGTCTTTCTGCTTTTTACTATGGAGTTCAAGAATGTGCATGAATGATTGTTCTCTTTTGTGAATACTATTTTGTACAGTTTAGAAGGAAGAACTGTTTCAGTCTACTTTGATTTCAAGTTACCATGGTTTATCAATGATTCTAAAGGTCCTCAAATGTGTTGTCCGGCAGATGCTCCTCTAGCTATGAAGGTACAATTATTTCTATGGCAGGATACATATACAAACATGTTTTCTAAGGTATAATCCAGACAGTTCTCACTGATCTGGTTTGCATGAAATTACAACCCAGTGTTAATAACTAGCCACAGGGGGTTGTCATTCATCCAATTACAGAGCACTTCCAGTAGGATGGCTTGTTTGTTTTTGAGAACTCATAAGCTTTTGTTCCAGGGGTGGGTTGTTGAGTCATCCAAATCTGGATGTCCCAGTGGCAGTTAATCCAAAGTGCCCAAGCAGTACCTGTGAGGAGCTATCACTGATTGGGCACTCTTGTTTTATAATGTAATTTTCTGCTTTAAATGTGTGCATTAAAAAAAAATCTATGAAGACTTACGAAACCATGGAGGTACACACTTCCATGGATCTGGAATTGGAAGTCTATTTTTGGGCAATGTCCCGGGAAGTACCTGCTTCCCAAAGCAGGGTAGCAAAATCCATGGAAGTATGCTTGTTCCAGGCCAAGATATTTTTAAAATGAGGTGGCCAGCCAGTCAAAGCTCCTCCAGTGTATCACTGCATATATTGGAGGACAATCCCTGACTGTTAACTCAAAGATCTCTGTTTGCATAACTTTTTTAAAAAAGTAAAAGGAGAAAAAGCTGTGATAAGTCAAAGATAGCTTGTGATTGTGATGGGGCAAGGAGACAAGGCAGCTTCAGCTACCAAGTCTCCTACAATACTAGCTGAAGGACCAAGGGGAGAAAGGCATGAATAACTCATGATGAACTGTTAGGCTTATTGACCGAATGGGTTGTTATGGCATGTGAAGCCACCCATTGCAGTAAAACCAAATTTGTTTCTGTACGGCACCAGCTGATATCATAATTGGGGTCAATCTTGTGAATGTCTCCTTACCTCAAAGACACTCGTAATAGACAGAAAGTTAGATTCCAGTGGGAAGTTCCAGGCCTGTTTTGCCCTTGATATCTAGGGTTTTTTTTTTAATGAATAGGGCTTTGTTTTTGTTTCATCAGAAAGCATTTGAAGATTAAAATATGTTTTCTATGAGCAGTTTGAGCACATGAAGTCTTTGTCTGTATACTAGGACAAGTTGGCTCTTAAAAAAACATGGCTGACAAAGGATTCAGGAACAGTAACTGGATTCCAAAGAGGATGATGGGTAAGCAGTTTCTTTTCATCATTGAGAGGGCCTGCAGCTCAGTCGCAGAACTTCTTTGCATGCCAAAGGGCCCAGGGTCAGACCGCAGCATTTCCAGGCAGAGTAGGGCAGAAGCTTCCTGAAAACTGGCAGGCCACCATAACTCAGAACTGACAGTACTGGACTAGATAGACTAATGGTGTGGCACAGTCTCTGTGATCCAAGTCCTTGGATTTACCAGTATCAAGAGCTATAAATATGGTGCAATTCCCTAATGGGATGTTTGTTTGTTTATTTATTTATAAAATTTGTATGCCATCCATTACTCGCATCTGTGGACAGTTTACAACATAGTTGTCCTTGACAGCATTTCCAATGAAACATCTTCAGGCCTTGGTTTGACTTTACCTATCCATGTTGGTCATTGGATATCCCTGGATAGGAAGGAGTACCAGATAACTTCCTTTTCCAGTTGAGCCTCATTCAAGCTCTGTGCTATCCCTTGCTTCCTTCTTATAGCTTCAGACCTGACTCTTGGCTTATTCCATATTTCCTTGTTCTCAGCTCCTGGATCATGTTTGATATCTACTCACACTCCAATACTTCTAAGCAAAGACATCACAGTGTGCTTGGAAAGCCTGAATAATGAACCAGCTTTTAATGTTCACTGATATAACAGCCTTCCTTTGATTATCCCAGGACACTGACAGAACTAAGAGAAAGTTACATGTCTTCAATTTGTCTTGCCATGGTGATCCCACGAATTAAATTCCTGGGAAATAAGATTAAAGTTCATGGAGTTTGCATGAATCTCTCAGCAAGCTTTGACCTCATGCCCTAGGCTGAGCATCATGAGATGTTCACAGGGGTCAGGGTCATTCTATGATGGTAGAAGACTGCCCTATGAATGTGTCTTTAGACAATTCTCTCTCTCTCTCTTTGAATAAGCTCTATTTGTTCTTCATTTGTTCTGGTTATCTGGACACATGTTGGAACTGTGTTGTTATGCTGGATGTGCCTTTCTGGGAAAACTCAAGCTGACATATTTCAGGGAGTTTTACTACAGCATCAGCCAAGCAGATATCTTTTGAGTCAAATTCAAAGCATGATAATGACCAGATTATGGTCACAAGGGTCAGTTGGGTACCCTGTGCCTTTCTGAAAAAGTTTCAGCTAACTGTAAATTTAAGGAGCAGCATAAACCAAATAATCAGCTGTTTATTTAAAAGTAACCCAGTCGACTTACAAGAAGCCTTTCATATAAATAATAGTTAGGCAACTCAGTAGTAAAAAGAGATTCCAACCACTCAATCAGAGTAGGTCTGGAGGAGGTTAGCACGTTAGGAAATGCTAGTTCAGCCTAGTGTTTGTTGCTGTAGCAAATGCTAGCTTCTTTTAGTCATTCCCACTAGCACAAATGATATCAGTGGATGCTGTCCAGCAACTGATGAGAGTGATGATATTATATCAGTTTTCTTTGGCTGTAGATTGGATCCAGCTTTATGTGTGTGCAACCAGGCTGGTAGAATTGGACTTCCCAACCTCTTACCTCAGCCACCCAGATATTATACAGAGAGTAAAGGGACTCTGCTGAATAGGAAAGCTTAAAAGCTTTCTGAAGGTTCCCCAGGTGGAACTTTTGAAGGTTCCCCATCAGGTGGAGTCACTTTTTGTGCCATTCCTTTATATGTCCTATCTTGTAGCACATAGAAACATAGAAAAAGAGCGAGTCAGAAGGGGCCTCCCGGGCCATCTAGTCTGATCCCAGATCCAGCTGGCTCTGCTTATGGCATGCCATGACATCAACAAACCAAATGAAATTTCTGGATGTTATTTTATTGCTATTAGTATCTTTTGTATTTATTTAATGTGTACTTTTAAATTTGTTGAATTGTGTTCTTTGTATTATGAAAACATTGTTAGCCATAATTGTTAGTTATATTGAATTTAAATATTTTAAATGAATGAATGAAAGAGGCAAGACATTTATCATCTGTATGTCCTCCCCTAGCTCACCATGTTATAGCCATGTTATAGCAAGCACCATGTTAAGAGACAGGAAAGAAAGATAGCTATATTGAAGCTTATGGCAAAATGGCAGCTAGACCATATTGTAATGCAGTAGTAAAGAGAGGTATATGAAAACACTGCCCTGATACCAACTGTACATCTGGGATTTATTCATGTGTCTTCACCTGGAATATATATATTTTAGATTCATGCTGATTTTTGGCCTATCTTTCATTCTCCTTTGTTTATGCCTGGATCCACTCAATCATTGTGCTTTAATAATAATTCCCTTGTGGGACATGACTCACTTTCTTTCATATGCGATTGTTTGTAACCTACACAGTGTCTTTTTGCCAAAATATGATACAAATCAAAACATGATCATTGGCATGATATGTGAGCATTTTTTAAATGAAAGTGCTGCAAGTAGGGCATCTACACTTACTGTTGCCTATTATAAATATGACCTGGGCTGGGTAGGTAGCATGAAGGAGCAAAAATGGTCTGAAAATCTCAACTTTGATTCAAAGTAAAAATTCGCAGAGACATAATCCAGCCAAAGTTGTGCCTTTTAAAACCCCATCCATTTTAAGTATGTATGAAGATATATCTGTCATATCGAAATCAATGTGATTGAATTGTGCCTAAAATTTCTAGGACTTACAGCTTCAAAAGATTTGAACAATGACTGACATAATGCACAAAGCTGGGGGATAATTCAGTTAGGGGTGTACAGTGAACATGAAGAAAACTTTCATTTCTCTGAATAGCTCCTTGCACATCCCCTTCTTGAAAAGTTCTAGCAGAGTAAATTATGCAAGGTAAGCGCAAAAATGTGTGTCTGTTCACTCACTACAGTAAACGCATGTACAATCAGTCTCCATTGAGTTTGTGCTGCTTGTTGCAGATGCATTCATTTCATCTGTTCATTTGGCCCAGCTGTTTATGCTTGTTGATATAAATAAGTTCCTGGATGGTATCCCACTTGGAAGCATAGCAAGGATGCAATAGGAAATAAACATGAAGGAAACACTAATGGTCTGCAATATATGCTAATCAAACAAATTACACTAATCTACATTGGTATGTTTATAGTCTGGAAGACAGCTTTGTGGCCTGCATATTTATGATGTGCTCAGTCGTTCCCATGATAGAACATGCCTACATTGGGATGAATTAACATGTGTATCACCCCGGATTTATTCAGTTATGCCTATACTTTGGGTATGAATGTGCATGCTCATTCTGGTGACCACTTGCAGTTGTGTGGATTCAGCATGAGCACATGTTCAATCTATCATCTGCTAAGGGCTTGCATACAAACATGCTTGCTGGCATGTGGACTTGGTAAATTAACCTGATTTATACAAGTGGCAGGATTTATCTTCCATCTCCGAATGAGAACTTGGGACAGTTTTTCTTTCTTACAGTGTGAAGTACACACCATCCTGTTTTGTCATGTGTTTATACACATCAGAGCAATGAAGATAGCTTTCAGAAGTGCTCCAACATTGCACTCCTGTGCTTGAGTGGGGAATAAAGCAAACAATACAGCTAACTATAAAAATATTAAATAGTTTAAAGCAAAAAAAGTGACTTAATCTTTCATGAAATGACAAGTGTAATCTGATTAGTTTGTACAGCATTAGCATTTGAATGAAAAGCTCAGTAAAAAGTCAACAAAAGCCTCTACAAGACAGGAATGGAACACAGTTTTTCATATTTGAAGCTAGCCAGCAAAAGAACAATCAAATTAATTTTCAAGTACTAGAATTTCACACTTAAACACTTCATTCTTAAAAAAAACAAAACAAATAAACAAAAAATCCTTTGAATACCTTAGAAAATGGCAGTATGGTAGGAAAAAGTGAATAATATAAGTAAACTGGAATGCAATAGTCAGAAGGGAAATAAGAAATCTCTGATGTTTAGAAAAAGGAAATTAACAAAACGGTATAGAGGCCAAAATTACCTAGGAACCTCAAGATCTAAAGAAACCACAAAAACCAGAAGACAAATAGATACAATCTCAAAAATGAAGCATGAGATATCAGCTATCAGAAAGTGCAGCTGTTGCAGATTATCCGTAGTATTCCGCATGATGCCAGTTCCTTTGATGAAACCAGCTCTCCCTTCAAAATGCAGTTGCAAACAAATGAGGTGGTGACTAGTTCCCATTAATCTTCCATAAGTATCATGATAAGAGCAAGATCTGTGCCTAGACACTTTGGAAAGTACACCCTGAGCATGAGGTATTCTTCGAAATGTACTATATTAATAAATACCAGAATATTCAGAGAAATACAACCCATTATTGAGCTCCCTTCCCAGTGCCCAATGGCTGCCAATGCCAGGTTTACGATAGGCTTAGTATGGCAGTAATCACTGAGCAATCACATCCTTAGCGTTTACAGAGCATCAGCAGCTGTGGCTCGTGTTGGCAAGTCATGCTATGCCATCGTGCAAACAAGTAGGTTGGCTGTTCACTGAACAACCCATGGTACACCTGGCAGATAGTAGAGCTTACCATGGGTTGTTCCCCTCTTCCCCCTCAATCATCCAGCTGACTCCAGTACAAATCCTAGTACCCCTCACAACAGAAGCCTCTTGTTTCTTCCTTTCTGCTCTGTTGTTTATCCCTTTTTCTTCACTGATGCCTGTTTTGGAAGTCCAATTGGTGTTGTATTATTTTGAGCCAGTGTGGTATAGTGGTTAAGAGTGCTGGATAAAGACTCAGGAGATCCAGATGGTACATGGTAGGGATGTGTGAGGATGCTTCCATGATCATCTGTAGATTTCTTTTCCACTCAATTCGCTTTCCAAGACCAAGCTGAACATGAAAGGAATTCCACAATTGCAAGACAGATAGATTCCACTAGGTTTCATCTCAACCATAGTGCACAGTTCCAAATGGTACCACAAATGGTATACAGTTAGTGTGGCTGAAGTGGTTAAAGTGTTGCACTGGGACTTGGAACTCACTGGGTGGCTTTGGACTAATCACAGACTCT